ATTCGAGTTTGCTCCAACCGGGGTCTCGGTTACACCGGTTGGTATCATCTGTGTTTTCAATTCAAATTCACTGTGTTTGCATGACCGATTGCTTACAGTATCGCCAAAGCAGCAACAATCAGTGAAAAAAAAGAGTCGGTATCTGCGCCAGGCTGCGAGAAACCGGTAAAGGAAGGAACAGGTAAAGGTTTATTCCGCGCAGAAAAGAAAAGAGACGCGACGTTCTGGGTGTGGAGTTTTTTTCAGCTGCTTCTTCCTTCAGAGTCTTCTCCATACCTGAAGGAGGGTAGAATAAACCTTTATCGCTTCCATTGCAACAATTAGCACATATTTACAAACATTTAGGACAATTATGAGCGGTATGGTGCCTTGCACCGCCGGGGACTGGGTTCAATACCGGACCTGGGTGCTGTCTGTGAGGAGTTTGTATGTTCTCCTCGTGTTCGAGTGAATTTCCCCAGTGTGCTTCAGTTTCTGCCCACAGTCCACAGTCTACCAACGACATCCTGGTAGGATAATTGACTTCTGGGAAAACCGGCCCTGGTGTGAGTGCATGTGTTTGTGTCTGTGTGCCCTGTGATGGGCTGGCTGGTTGAATAGGACGATGACAATACTGTCGTATTATTATGTTTATCAATAATGTCCTGAGTAAGACAGGTGTGAGAATGCATTTACTGCAGAGGTGATTTTAGTAAAAAGAAGCCTTAAGAAAAATCCCAAATATGTCTAAGAAAATACTTAGGTTAATTGTTTAAGTGTTTAATCGTCTGCTTAGGTTGAATCAAAAAACCAGAAGATACTGCATCGTCCTGCAATTGAGTTTGGCAGCCCTGCTCAGTATCTTAAATATAACACATCAGTTTAATTCTGAGCGATACATACACTGAGAGATTTCTTCCAAGTACTAAAAATGCATGAAATATTGATGCCTATCTGAAAGTTGTTTTTACTATCTGTCCAATGGCGTTTTATTTCTAAGCAGGTAAACATTAAACGGGATTTGTACACGGATAACTCCAACAGAAGGAGGGGGGGGTGATGAGAAAGACTACCTTTGCAGCGGACGTCAGGAAGAGAGAGAGAGCGAGAGCAGGCTCAGTCGAGCGCTATTCTCTCCAAAGGACGCGAACGGTTTGCAGAGACGCATCGCCAGAGCCCTCTCTCCTGCGATGGAGGATGTGAGGTAAGTCTTTGTTTGTTTGTTTGTTTGTTTGTTTGTTTGTTTGTTTGTTTGTGCATCTCCAATACTTTTAAACCTGCTTCAGAACAACAGCGAGTCTATTCGAAAAGCCGCAGGGTTTTAGTATTTTATTATTAGTAATATTATGAGCTCAAGAAAAGCTTGCGTACTGTTCAGGTAGCGTAAAACTGCTTTCAAAACAGCCTTTAGGTAAGTCGCACGAAAACTCCTACATTTATTTTAACCTGAACTCTGCATGTTGTTTAATGTTTCAATAATTGGGCTAAAAGAAGAATGTAGCCTATTTGTAGCTTTGCGTAGTTACATAAGTGTGTTTTTTGCCAAGAACATCTTTAAGCCTGCATTTAACTTGGTCAATTTCAGAATGGTTTCGTTAGCGTGGGGGAAAATATAACTTGAGCCTTGGAGACATAACAAAATAAGCATTTTTTATTTATTTATGTGGCGTATTTCTAACAGTTTCGTGTGAATTCAGTCGACGCTGTCAAAAACATTACATAATTTTAATTTCTCCCACCGCCTGTGCAGTTTCCCAGAAGCAGAGGATTGAACAATAAACAACTGAACGCAGAACATCAATTTTTAATCTAGTTCATTAAGTTGTTTATGGTGTTCAGCCATATGGTACGACTCGCACCTTGTTCAATTATGAATGGACACGGCTCGCGGCAATCTAATTGCCCTGTCAATCAGTCTAACAGAGCCGGGAGACGACTCCATCAAGATCTCGACGCTGCTACCACAGAAACAACTCACTTTTACCGCTCCGAGAGAGCAGCACCTATCTGACTTTTTTGAGGATGTTTTTCAGTACTACAGGGAAGGTCAAAGTCTTTTAGCAGTTTGGTCTTGGTATTACTGTAAGCATTAATCTTAATATCGGAAATAGAAAATAGTTACAGCTTTGATGCTACAGCAGTTTTCACGATTCTTACGGCATATTATATATGCCACGTCCGTGTTTAATTTTTAAAACCTATAATGCTTCCTCCCAGGTAAATTATTTGCTATTTTTTATTATGATGGAAAATAGTTTTGAATGCTTATAAAACGATGAATCCCATGTCCGCTACATGCATTTCAAGGTGCGGTTTGATTTCATTTCTAGCAGAAAAAAACCCAGCGACCCAGCTGCGTCCTCTGCTTATATAATCAGATTTTTACAGGGAATTATATGAGGCTCTGCTCTAACATAAATCCAGCCCCCTTTTTGCTGGAGGTCATCCAAAATTGTATTTAACTGTGGACAGCCAGAGCCTCTGGCAGTATCTTGGGGTCACTGGTGCTGTTGAGTACTCCCCCAGAAGTCAAAACCCCTGTGCCTAATACTGCACCTTCAGGGGCACGGGCTACTTCGCTCACAATTTGGGGATTAGAGCAAAGACTTGTGGAAGAATGAGATAATATCTTCCAAACATAAGGACATTTCTCCCATCATGTCCATTTTGTTGCTAGTAGCCTGTTGAAGAATCAAACAGGGACCCTCAACAGCCTGACCAGGTAGCTAATATTATCTTTCCATTTTCTTTGTCAAATGTGCTCATAAGTCCAAGAAACTTCCTCACATCTGAGATCATGACCTCGTGTAGGGCCACGATTGCTCTTAGCATCTTGTAGCTTTGGTATTGAGCAGCCTCACGAAGATGAGAGCTTCGTCTCTTTGCTGTGCGACAAAGCGCGTTTGTGTTTGCTGTGCCTTCTCCTTCCCGATCTCCAATCTGGAAAAAATCTTGGGGAATATTTCCCATCGTTATCGGCATCCCAAGGGGTAGCTGCGTTCTCAAAGCAAGTTGGAACGAGTTGCTAAATGTGTTCCGGGTGGGTTCTGCTCTGTTGTTGCAGATCTTGCATCTGGAGGACAAGTCTGCTGTTCGCAAAGGTTGACTCCACATAAATAAAGCCAAGCCCACCCCAGGGAGAGCAGAGCCAGACCCGCCTTCCTTTCCCAGGCTCTGGGAGGTCCTGCAGGCGGAGATGCTCCGGCCGGCTCTTCTGCTCCTCCTCGCCGCCGCCCTGACGGGGTCCTCCAAGCTCTGCCCCCACCACTGCCTGTGCTACGACTCTTCCAACCTGGTGGACTGCCGGGCCCGCGGGCTCACCCACGTGCCCCGGACCATGCCCCACGGCACATGGCTCCTGGATCTCGGGGGCAACAATCTGTCGGAGCTGCAGAGCCACTCCTTCAGTGGTCTGTGGTCTCTGCGGATCTTGGTGCTGTCGGAAAGCGGCATACAGTCACTGGAGCCCCAGGTAAAAGATAACGTCACTGCAGAATGTAGGTCATTTATTACCTACCAGCCCTATTTCCTGGAATTAGCTGTCTTAATTTGTATTTCGCCATCGTTGCTGGTCTGTCCTAGTTTTATCGGTGGTTGTCAAGGATAACCTTTTCTATTAAAATATTCAGAGGAAGTTGGCATGGCAGGAGTGGGTGATGCAGAAGGGTAACCTGTTACTGTTGCCGCTGTTTCAGGCGTTCTCCTCTCTCGCCTTCCTGGAGAAGCTGGACCTGAGTCACAACGAGTTGCACCGGCTGCCCCCGGACTTCTCCCACAGCCTGGCGTCTCTGCGGGAGCTGCACCTGGACAGGAACGACCTGGAGACCCTGGAGTTCCTCAGCCTGGAAGGGCTGGAGAACCTGGAGAAGCTGGACCTGAGCCACAACCGCATCCGGATAGTGGAGCCGGGGGCCTTCCGGGGCCTGTCCCGACTGCGCCACCTCTTCCTGCAGGGCAACCAACTGAGGGTCCTGCGGGAGGGGACGCTGGCCATGCTGCAGAGCCTGGAAGTGCTCCTGCTGGGACAGAACAACATCTCCAAGATCGACACGGAAGTCTTCACCTCGCTGCACAGCCTCTCCCTGCTGGGGCTGGAGGGGAACGGCCTGGAGCACCTCAAATTCAAGACGTTCCTCAACCTGCACACCCCGGGAACGCACCTCCAGCTGGCCGGCAACCCCTGGGACTGCGACTGCGACCTGCACCGCGTCTTCAGCAAGATCCTCAGCGTGCGGCACCTCCACATCGACGACTACAAGAACATCACCTGCCACCAGCCCTGGCAGCTGGCCGGCGCCTCGCTCGCCTGGGTGGACAGCCAGCTGTGCGTGGCCGAGACCGCCACGGTGCTGGTCATCACGGTCACCGTGCTGGTCACCGTCATCGCGGCCATCGTCATGGCCGAGAGGAACCGCAAGAAGAACCAGGGAAAGACCTGGAGCGAGGCTGAGGGCTCGGACCCCCAGGAGAAATAAGCGGCCCGCTCCAGGGACGGGGGGTTACTATCCCCCGCAGAGTAGCACCCCATTCCCTGCAGGATCTCTCTGATCCAGCAACATCTGCCAGCTGCTTACTGTCCACTCCTGCCAGGCAGCTGTTTTTATACCACGGACACTTCTTACCCCCTCTGCTCCAGGCTTCTTTGGCTTATATAGATCACCAAAAGTAAATCCTGTGGGGTAAGGAGTGCAGCCCCCAGCAAAATGCAAAACGGGACACCCCTCCCACGTCACGTGATTCGGAAAAGCCTGAAAGCCCGTGAGGACAGCAGCCATGATGTGTGTAATCCTGAGCTTCTAACGGCGGATCTCATTCTATTGCCCCCTGCGTGCGTGGCAGAACTGGAGGACGAGAGCAACGCCGCCGGCTGTCAGCTGTGTTTGTGCCAGAGCTGGGTACCTCAGCGGCTCCTCTCGGCTGCGGTGCGGTGTGGCCCTCCTCTACGTGGCGTTTCGTCGGCCCAGCAGGCAACTGTAGCGAGTCGTTTCGGGCGAAAACGGACAAGAGGCACCTCTCGCCGAGAGCCGCAACTATGGGCTGTAATCCCAGCCTCGCAGGGCTGTCTGAACGGATTCTTCACAGTGGTGAACATCGGCCACCTTGCAAAACTGGGTGTTGTGTCTGTGCATGCCTCTCCAGTTCAATTAGGCTTTTTTTGATGGCACGTGATTGGGCCCCCTTACCCACCACACTCACAGACGTGTTGATGTATTACTGTTACACACTAGGAGAAGAATGTGCTGCAACAGGGCTGACGTGTTTCCACAGAGGCAGTCGAGCTCATAAACTCCGGTGGTGCCCAGCGTGATCTTGAATCACTTGTAATGAACTGAAATGGTGCAGAGTGAAAATGCCATCTTCAATGCTGAGAGGACTCAAAATAAAATAAAATAAAATAAAACTGCCATGTTATCTGACCAACTTTTAAATCAGATTCCCGTTATGGACTGGAAAGTGACAATATTAATGCACTAGGTCTGCTAAGAGACTCCACAGTCTGGATAGACGTGGTAGAGTCTGACATCTCTGCAATGTAGACAGTGTCACTTCTGTAATAGGCTCCACACACAAACCCTGTTCCATTCTGGGGGGGGTGGGGGTGGGGGGGGGACACAATTTGGGGGATTTCAAAGTGGACAGGTTGATGAAAGGGGAAAAAAAGCAAGAATTTCATCATTTATGTTTAATTTCTTAAAACTCATAGAACTTCTGGACTGAGTGTCACTCGAAGCGATCATTGCAGCCCTGGGCCAACTGATTTTGAACAGGTCAGATTTTACAATAAACCATTTCAGTGTGCAAAAAGGACTAAGCAGCTGCATGAATGTTTGTTCAGGTTCCCTTCTTCCTCCGTGAATAATCAGCAGGTAAAGGAGCTCCGCATCTCCTCCCCTCCCGGACAGCTCCTTCCTCACTATGAAGGAGAGACCCCTCTGGATCAGTCCCGGGTGCTACGAGAGAGATGTTGTCATATGCCACTCCGATGTGTTTTCCTCCTTCTCCTCTGGGGGTCTACAGCTGTGATGTCCTGCCTGCTCACCTCTAAACAACAAATTAAATTTCGGCAATAAATGTCACCCGACGACACCCATTGGCCCACAAGGTAGGAAACAGTCCATAACCACGTGATCATTATCCGCGACCATACGGCCGCACAGATTAGCGCAACGATTAAAGAAAAAACCGTCCCCCCCATCTCCGTAAATCTGATATTTTTGCTTCATGCGATCAAGAGCTGTCGCTTCTTAGAAATATCCAGAGGGAGGCTGTGGACTCTCATAGAGAAAGGAAGAGCAGGAGCCGAGGGGAAGGAATTCTCTTTAATTCCTCGTCAGTCTTTTACACTTAAATACATCATCCCCCCACCAAGGAAGGTTTTATTTTTTTTAAGTGGAAAAACCCAATATTTTTTTTCTGACATGGCGGACGCAGCCCGTACTCGCACCTATCAATTCGAGAACTGGGCAAATGAAAAACAGGAGCGTCATCTCCAACCGCCATCACGTATTACATGACACTAGAGGCACTGACCGGGGTGGGTGTGCGTGTTTTCTGTCCCGGCACGTGTTCCACTCGTGAAGTTTGCCTTCCTGAATGTGATCGTTAACAACACCTTCTCTAGTGTCCTGATTTACGGTTCTTGTCTCTTTCATTTTGCAGTAATGTTAAGTTTAATGTTATTTAATGTTATTTAAGCGCTTTGAGAAGCCACCTTTAAAGGCGCTATATAAAATAAAGTGTTTTATTATTATTTTCAAACGTACTATCAACGGTTTTCCCAATGGATTTGTTTTTTTTTCTCTCTAAAAACCACTGCCCTGGTATGCATCTTCTAGTCCCTTAAAATCAAGTGGATTTGTGTTAAACCACTAGTAATAACGTTATCTAAGCCACTGCGTGTCGTGCAATCCCTGTTACCCAACACCTCGCTCTGCAGAAGGAACATCGCGGATAAAAATCTAAATTGAAGCATTAACGTGGCGTTTTGTAATCCCTTACTATCCTCCTCGTACACACCGGCTCCCCCGGAGTTACTGCGTCAGAAGTACCAAAGCACGCAGATGAAACGTGGTCTCTCCCACGACCCCGACCTTTGACCGTCAAAGCTGTTGCAGAGACAGCGTCACCTTGTGGCCATTTCTAAAACAGTTCATGGGTTATGCGCCCCATTAACACAAGTTGCATTAAATTGTAATGATAAATTATATATTATAAATATTGATTATAATTCTAAATTAACAGGCGCGTTGTCATTTTATGCCGACACTTCCCGAATGCTTGTGTGCCCCTGGGCGTTATGAAATAATATTTTGGGCTTACATATCATTGCAACCTCATTGCATTCTTGCGCGTGATAAATTGAAGATTTTTTTTTTTTAATATACATTTTTTTAGTTTTTAGATTCTGTAACTACTGGAGGCGATATCGTTTGTCTTCAGAAAAAAACTTTAAACACTTAAATATTAACGCAAATAAGGAGCATTATGAACTAGAATAGCAATGCACCCTGCGTTTTTTCCGGTAAGGGGAGTTCTTGGGAAGCCCTGGTCTGCTCGCCAGGGAAAACGCCATTATGCACGTGTTTCCATAGCAACACGGGCGGGGCCGCCGCCACCACGCCCCTCCCGGAGGGACAGTTGAAATCTGTAGATCGGTCGCGACTTGTTGCAGAAAGTTTGTCAATGCGAGAAAAAATGTCAAAAGTTAAGGGCGGTTCTTCCAGCTGCAGGACGGTGGCGGGTCACCTCCTGTCGAAACCCGCGGTCTCAGCGATGACTCCCCGAAACCCGGGCGGTCTCCAGCGGCAGATGAGCTCCCTGGGCGCCGCTGGGTGGGGGAGCCCCAGCCCGGCCGCCGCCCAGCAGGACTTCGCCAGGCCCGGCGTCCCGGCGGCGGCGGCGGCGGGGGGTGTCGATCTGCCCAGCCGCACGCTGATCTGCAGGGATGTGAAGGCGTTTCTCGGCGAGATCGGCGGCGACTCCAGGGAGGCCAGGTACTGGCTGACCCAGTTTCAGAGGAGCACCTTAACGCGGTCCCCTGCTTTCGCGGTGCTGGAGGTGAGTGCGACGCTAAAAGCACCGGGGCCCCTCGACAGTGTAGCAGCACGGTAGTATTGCAGCAAATACGGTTACATAAACTCCTTACAGCACATTGACTTGTTTCATTTTGATAAAAAAAAAACATCCACGACTTGTTGTTTTTTTTTTGGCTAATAGCTGCGCAAGCACTAAATACTGCAATAAACTGATGTATTTCTATACACGGGGTATTGCTTTAATAAAAAAGAAAACTATACAAACGCAAGTTGTTATGAGTAGATAAAATTCAATTGGGTAGCTGCCCCTCCGTGTCATGAGCGCGTTGGTGCTGATCTCGGACACAAAGCGCCTCACCGACTGTGCTGTGCTGGCGTTTCCACGAACGACAGGGATTATACTCATCCGGTTTGATGTGTCTGTTGGTCTTTTTCTAAAACAACTTTTAATGCAGAGCACTGTCTGAAACCAGCGCCAGACTGACGAAACTCAGTCTCTATTAAGAAAGGGATAGATACAGTGAACCTACAAGCAGCCACATCAGGCAGATGGGCTGTGTAGCCTTCTCTCATTTACTAATCTCCCGATCTTCTCCTGCTCTTCTGAAATATCGGTGAAGCAACATATTAATGAACTTCACACCTTGAATGCATGAATCTGGCAGGAGACATGAATCTCCACAGTTACTTGCTAAATTGCAGAACACAATGGTGACTCAATGTGGTCCCTGCAGACAAAAGAACTTAGTTTGTCTTTAGGCAGCAACAGTTACGGTGTCTTTGTGTGTTTTAATCCGCAGGTGGACGAGTCTGTTCTGAAGAGCCGGGAGATGACGCAGAGCCTGGCCTTCGGGCTCTCTTTCCTGCAGCGGATGGATATGAAGCCCGTGGTGGTGATGGGGCTGCGGGCAGAGGAGATGGAGGCCGTGCTGACCGGGCCGTGTTTCCGCCCCAGGGCTGCCATGGTGCGGCGCTGCCAGGCTCTCGCAGAGGCGCTGCAGAGGAACTCCGTCAGCGTTATGCCCTTCTTCAGCGCCGAGTCCTTGCTGCTTGCCCAGGACGTGCCATCTGGTGCTGGGCACAGGCGAGTTCTCATTGGTGTTAGGAGGATATTGGTTTTTAATCCTTACAAATATGTAATCGGCTTGATACCTCCTTCTGCGATCCTAGCGCTGCTGGGTCTATGCCTCTTATCATTCTAGTTTAAATCATGACATCATTTAACCTGCACTCTTTTAAGATGCATCATTTTCCTTCAAATTTGAGTGACATGAGCGTATGACCCTGTTTTTTTGCAGGTGTTCTGGATTTTGGGGGACAGAAAGGGCCTTTTAGGCACAGTGGCGCAGTGCTTAGCAATGCTGGATTGCACTGAGGCCCGAGGTACAACCCCCGATTTGGGGGAGCTGTATGTGTGGAGTTTGCATGTTCTCCCCACGTGGGTTTCCTCCCACAGTCCAGAGACATGCTGGTGGGTTAACTGGCTTCGGGGAAAGTCGGCCCTGGTGTGAATACATGCTTGTTTGTGTTTGTATGTGCCCTGTGGTGGATTTGGCGTACCCTGCACGGCCCCCCATTGCTTGCTGGGATACACTGTGGCTCCCCACCGATCCAGAACTGGAACGAGCAGGTGGGAGGCAGTCGGGTGGTCTGACACGTCTCTTTGATGCCCCCTGCTGGACAGATGTGGGAACAACATTGCAGTGGACGCCGGGCTGCTGCAGTGGAGCCTGGACTGCGGGAATATCCCGCTGGTGTGTCCGGTGGGCAGGAGCGTCAGCGGCTGCTCTGTGGTGCTGGACTCGCTGGACGTCACCGCTGCCATCTCAAAAGCCCTGCAGCCCCTCAAAGTGATGTTCCTCAACAGCTCAGGGGGAATCCGTAACCAGAGCCACAAGGTAAAGGGCCACCAGCCCAGTACCCTGACGTTCATAATAAGCATAATTCCTCAAACTTCCCTATCGCTTTTCTGGACACTCCACTCAAAGCCCTGTACAGGTCATGGGGATCCCCTCCACCACCACCAGTGTGCAGCCCCACCTGGATGATGCACCAGTACACTCACCACACACCAGCTCTCAGTGGAGAGGAGAGCAGAGTGATGAGGCCAGTTCAGAGATGGGGATTATTAGGAGGCCATGATTGGTAAAGGCCAATGGGAAATTTGGCCAGGACACCAGGGTGTGACACCTCTACTCTTTTTGAGAGATGCCCTGGGATTTTTAATGACTGCAGAGAGTCAGGACCTCGGTTTAATGTCTCATGCAAAGACAGTATATTTTCCCCGTCACTATACTGGGGCATTTGGACCTACACAGACTGTGGGGTGAGCGCCCCCTATTGGCCCCACTAATACTTCTTCCAGCAGCATTCTTAGCTTTCCCAGGAGTCTCCCATCCAGGTACTGGTCAGGCTCAGACCTGCTGAGCTCCAGCGGGCTGCCAGCTGGGAGCTGCAGGGTGACAGAGCTGCAGTTCGTGTCTCACTCTCTCGTTCTGCCTTTGATTGGTGTCGTGGTTCCAGGGCAGTGTTTCGCAGTGGGCTTGAACCTTGCTCTTGCCTTCCTTCTGCCTCAGGTGGTGGGCCAGGTCACCCTGCCTGCTGACGTGGCGCTTCTGTCAGAGGCAGAGTGGATCAGCGTCCAGGAGCAGCGTCAGGTCAGGACCATCGTGGACCTCCTGAACCAGCTGCCCAGCGAGTCCTCCGCTGTCATCACCTCGGCCAGCACGCTGCTCACCGAGCTCTTCAGCCACAGGGGTAAAGACGGCTGCTCAGCTGTCAGTGGAGGGCAAGCTCATGAATCCTACTGAGCCTGCAGTTCCATGTTTCGCCACTAGGAGGTGGTACTAACATAGTTGATTACCCATCCAGTAAGGTGCGGCAGTTTATATCACTGCTGTTGGAAGAAAATGCCCTTAACGTAATGTATATGTGCTAGAACACCATGGTTTGAGAGAAAATTGCTGGAATGGGAGAATATAAATTCACAACCCCTCCTCTTTAGTCTAAAACATTTCAGTAGAAGTTGTTTTCCTGGGAAGTAATTATTAAAACTCAAAGGCTCACTAAGGAGCTGGAACAGTGCATCTGTATGTTACTGAGAAAGAAGCAGAACACATTGTTAGGTGGTTGTTAATGCAGAAGCTGTTCTTCTCTCATATGATCCAGGTTCGGGGACCCTGTTTAAGAATGGAGAACCCATCCACAGGTATGTATTCTGAGGAAGAATTTTAACATTTACCTTTTTTAAGTATATGATATAGTGACTGCCTTTTGCTCATATGCCTTTTCGGCTTAGCAACAGTATAAAAGGCTAATTCAAGCATAATATTTGACTTTTTAATATTAATGCTACAACTGCAGAATGTCTAGCTCATTTCACACCTTCTGTTTACTTACTTCCTTTTGTCTCTATACAAAGTAAAATTGCTTCTTAAGAAGAGAAAAACAACTCCTAATATGGAAATTTAGAATGCGCTTTCCTGTGTGAATTTACTGTATAAAACCCATTACATTTACCACAGATCTCTATGAGAGGCTGCTCTCAGATCTGCACGATTGTATCCTCCCCATGCGCATGAATAAAGGGCTCTGCTTGACCACACCTAACCTGAGTGAAGAGTTTTCTTTGACAATTCCAAAATTTTATTTTCAATTCATTGACGATTGTAGGATATTTGGATTTCTGTAAGATGCATAACACCCACGCCTGTTATTAGTAGAGTTTAAATTTCTCTGCTGCTTAGTAAGTTATATACCTACATTGCCTTGGAAAAGTATTCACCCCCTTCCGGTGGTACAGTAGATGCACATTTGTTTAAAGTGAATAGTTTCTTCAAAACTTGAATGTTGAAACTCAGCACTCTTTTTCGCCACATAGGTGAAAGGAGGGGTGAATACATTTGCAAGGTTATGTTCTTAACCCTGGCCCCTTGTGTACAACAGGACTAAGCAAAGCTTAGTTTTTAGTTACAGACTTTGAAATAAAGGACATGATTGCAGGCATTGTCTGCTGTTGGACAAGCCTGGTAGATCTGCTTGTTCAGAGCTCCTGCTCAGCACTCCTCCACTCTCCTTACTGCTTCTCCTTTAGGTACAGCAGCCTGGATGAGATCGATGTCGACCGGCTCCTGGCCTTGATCAACAAGTCCTTTGGGAAGAACCTGAAAGAGGATTACATTGCCTCTCTGAAGGGCCGGCTGCATTCCGTCTACCTTTCCGAAGAGTGAGTGAACTCGGGGCTGATCGGATCTTGCCGTAGGAGATGGAAATTGAAAAAACTCCTGCCTACCTCCTTTATTGCACATCACCATGAACAAGCAGCAGTGTGCTTTAGAATAGGGGGTTTTGAGAACAGATCAAGATTTCTGAAAAGAATCGTGCCAAACCTGAAACATGTGGCAAAGACTAATGTTTGGGAAGCACAGAATTGCAGCAAAACCAATATTTGCCCGCCCTGCAGATCTCTTGTTCCTTGTTTGAGCAGAGATGTAGAATTCCTGTACCGCCATCATTGCGAAAGCTGAAAGCAAACCCTTATCGCACAGACTGCCGTGTTTCCAGGACTGGCGCTGGGTTTTCCAACAGGACAAGCATCTTCCTGATAATGGGTGGATGGTACTGAAGCTTGAGGCAAAATGAAAGAGGGTGGGTACTTAACACTGGGGGGTGGACAAACAGGCATCCTGGCACTTTTGCAGGTACAGCGCAGTGGCTGTCATCACGAAGGAGCCCGTGAGAAGCTGCACACCGTACCTGGATAAGTTCGTGGTGAGCAGCAGCAGGCAAGGCCAGGGCGCCAGCCAGATCCTGTGGGAGCACATCCGACGGGACCTTGGCGCCCTCTTCTGGAGATCCCAGAGCACCAACCGCATTAACCCCTGGTGAGTACAGCGCCCAGGACGAAGAGGGGAGGGGAGTAGGAATGCAAGGCTGGTGTGCACTGTGACTGTCTCCCAGCTCACAGGTGAAAGGAAGAGGCTCTAAACTGGCTGATCTCTTAACACCAGATGCTGCAGCACGGGCTCGTATTGTCGTCAAGACTTGATGGAGAGAAGAAAATAGACTTTCAAGGAGTTTTGGATTTCTGGAACAAAGTGTTTGATGCTGAGCGTGCCTGAGTCTGTGCAACTTTACAGGCCTTTCCTCCTGCATCTCTTTCAGGTACTTTAAAAAATGCGATGGCAGCTTCGTCAGTGGCAGGTGGATTGTCTTCTGGTTCGGGCTCTTGGACATGCGGGACTCCTATGAGCTGGTAGAGTACGCCAAGAACGTACCCGATTCCTTCTGCGTGACGGAGTCTGGAGGACCCCCGGACTCCTGAGTCCAGGGCCGACTCATCTGCCCACAGCGCACTCTCCCCCAGCCGCTACGGGGGGCTTCACGCCACCGAGTGACCCTCTTGCTAATACGGTGACGGAGCATCTTGGTAAACCCCATCGTAACACAACCTTTTGTTTTCGGGAAGGACAGCTGGAAGGGCTGATGCTCTCTTTCCACAAATAAAGAAGTATGAGCATTCGCAAGACTAGCTGGGATTGATTTAGCACTGCTGCTTTTGGGGACGATGATGATTGCGGTTTCATTTTGGGAGCAGGGTGTGAGATCCACATGGTTTTGCACTGATGCTCTGAGGCAGTGTGCTGGGAGCCTTTAACTGCACTGAATTTTTCACAGAAATTTTAGCTGCACTTCCCAAATTGGAAAAAATCTTCACACCCCACTAATTTTTTTTCTCTTTAATTGCAAAGCATCTTATTACTTCTAAGTGTTATTTGTATTTCTTTCTGAGACCATTCATTGTGCTTTTGTTTGATTGAAGTGGCTACATGAAGGATGGTTTCTCATGTGCCTTGCAAAGGACAAAAAAAAAATGGCCCTTTGTTGATTGTAAAACAGACTCTACTAGTTCCATGTTTCCCTGCTCCTGGACTGCAGACCCACACTGGTTATAAAAGACCAACCCAACTCGGGAACCTACAGTGGACACTTTCAGAACATAGTTGCAGCTAAAATCTGTACTGTCAGCTTGCGGTTTTGTAAATTCGTAAAAGTTTCTAAAACGCACAGTCTTGTATCTGTAATATGGCTACAATGTTATATCCGGTGTAACCAGACTGCACTTCCTCAAATTCACTACCTGTCAGCAACATTTGGGGATGAGCTCAAAACAATATCGGTGGGTAATGTTTTGCTTTAATGCAAAAAGTTCACTGTATTAAATCCTGTATGCACTTTGTGTGTAATCTTTATGCTAGTGTTCATGTATTCTCTTTCCTAATTTTAGTACCAGCATGCTTTTGGAAGAACGTTGTTGCAAACCAAGTGCTGTGATGAAGAGTGAAGTTGCCTACCTAGTTTATGTATTTATAATTCATGCTAAGAAACCAAATGATTTTAAGTAGTCACATTCGTGGCGAGAACACTGTTAATGGTCTATGCACACAGAACGGCGCATGGTAAGAACAGTCTGCACACAGGGGTGAAGGTTTTACATTTATGCAAAATATCTTAGATAGTCATGTAAATAGAAAAGAAAAAAAAACATAACCTGAGATCCCACCCCCACCTCCATATAACAGAAACGTGACAAACAAGAGCATATTGTAAACTTATTAGACAGATTAAAAGCTAAATGAGAAATACATAAAGCATATAATTACACTAAGCACTTTGTGCACAATTCCTATCCAAACAGTATAGAATTAAATTAGTTCAGGTGGGGAGCTGCCTCAGCATGCATAGGCTGCAAAGGAACAAGTAAAGGTTTATTCTGTGCTGAAAAGTGAAGAAAGAAAACATGTTTCGGCAGTGGAGCCGCCTTCAGGTGTGAGGAAGGTCTGAAGAAGGCTTCACGCCTGAAACTTGTTTTTTCTTCTCTTTTCAGAAGGGAATACTTACTTGTTCCTTTGTAGGATTAAATCCGTCAACATTGAATCCAGGCATTGATAAAACTGTTCTGCTAACTGCACATGTTTAAGGTGATCAACACAGGCAAGTAAAAAAAGGTAGTGCTAATTTTAATCATGCCTTATTGTTTCAATAGAGCATAAACCATCAGAAGAAAATAAGAGTCAGGATGGCTTTGTTGTTACACATTTTTAAAAAGTGTGACATTCAAGAGTGAGGTGTGCATCTCAAGAAAAACGGTTTCCCTGCGTTTTTCCTGAGGGTTGTCTTGCAGCCGCCGTACAATTCAGCTCTCGATATGACAGCCAGTCTATTATTGATCACCCTGAAGGTGGGTTAATATGCGTCCCAGAAATGAAACAAGCAGTGAAACAATGCTTCACATTCATAAGAACTGTAAACATGAAGACCAAATTCTTTAGATGTTGACTTCTATTCACTTCCCAGTCTTAGATTATGGTTGAAATAAGAAGATAAAGAAGGTTTCCGTCGATCCGCGACGAGGCCATCTGAGCCGAGCCCCTGCCAACTGGATCTTGTCCTGACTGTGTCGGCAGCAAGGGTGCAGATGCCGTAATAGCAATAGGTTCCAGAACCTCTCTGCACATCCTCTCTTCCAGCTGCCCCACAGCTCCCAAGAAGCTCAGCCATCCGTAGCCAAGATGAGGACGGCCCCGAAAATCCCAGCGTTCTGCCCGATCAGCTTCATCTGGTTCCAGAACTCCACGTGGCGGTCGTGGTGCCAGTAGCCGACGTTGCCGTCGATGAAGAGCAGCACCAGTGGCAGGAGGATGGCCAGGATCTGGGAGGCGAGGTGGACGTAGTAGCCCGAGAGGAAGGAGAGGGCCAACACGCCATAGAGGACGAAGAGCAGCTGCAAAGTGATCTCGCCCCCGGGGATGTGGTTCAGGTAGGCCAGCCTGTCCTCCTGGCTGTGCTGCAGCGAGTAGGCCTGCCGAAGAGCAATGCTTTGTGAGCAAGCAAGACCCAGCC